ATATCGTTCACAGTGGGCTCAGAACTATATGGACGTATTGACATATTTAAATATTTGTAATACACTGTCAATAACAAATAAAAATTGTTATAAAACATATTTTGCTTATGCGAGAACACTTCTTATAGATTAAAATATAATATAACATAATATAGGTACTTATACTTATTTCAACTTTACATAAAATATATATGTAATTAAAAAATTATTATTATTAATAAATAAAATAAAAATGATTATAATTGTATAATACGTTACTTTACCTCGTTAAACAAAATCCCAACGACGAAAATATAGTTGCAAAAACGTCCGTTTACGAAGACGTATAAACGTAAAATGCGGTTGATTGACGTTCGTCAACATAGAATAAGTCTTATTTTGGATAAAAATATAATTAACCAAATAGAGTATTTGTCTAGGTACGTCTGTTTATTGTTGTGACTACGAGGTTGCTTATAATATAATTGAATATAACAAAAGTTATAAATAAATAATCTAGACCGCGTCGGCGATTCCTGTGTAAAAGTATACGCCGCCGCCGCGCCGTGTGATCTTGTGACGTCACGCGGCTATCTCTCTTTGGCTCTAGCGCCTTAACGAATCGACGTATACACATTTTAGTACCACCGTTAGTTATAGTAATTGACTAACTATTAATTAAGCCAAAATCATTTTTTTGTTTCATGGTCCTTTAATACCCTCCGGGAGGCATTTGCCAAATGATGATGACGGAAATGTCATTCCATTCTCTATCGTTGGCGATGAAGCGTTTGGACTTGGAAATCACATTTTGAGACCTTATGCCAAAAGAAATTTAAACTATACCAAGCGAATTTTTAACTATAGACATACAAGAGCTCGTTGTGTGGTTGAGTGTACATTTGGGATTCTCGTAAACAAATGGCGTATATTTCACCGCCCAATTGATGTGAATATCGATTTTTGTGTTCGTATTATAAAAGCCTGCTGTGTTCTTCATAATTATGTACGTATTAAAGATGGAGTAAAATTTACAAATACTCTCTACAATTGTCCCATGGATAACTTAACGATAATTAATGAAAACAACCGTGGGAGAAATAATACGGACAGTGTGCGACAGTACATGTCTTCATATTTTATTTCTCAAGAAGACGCCATTTCATGTCAATATGACAAAGTGTAATAACTATCAACTATTTGGTTATAGGTAAATTAATAAAACAAACTCACTCATTTTAATTATATTTATAATGTAATATAGTTTTTGTATTATTATAATTATTATAATTTAAGTTATTTATGTAACTAATTATCTACATTTAATAATTTTCAAGTTTTTTAATTTGTATGTTTGGTAATCTACTTATTTTAATAAATAAAACTATACATGATCTAATTTTAATATAGTGTATACGCTATTTGTTCGGGCCGGGAGCATCTAATTATAAGTATGCGCGCCCCGGTCACCAAAATATCAATACGCTATTATACAGTCACACACCGACCGACCTGTGTTTGCGTGTATATGTGTATAGCACTCAACAGGAAGTGGACAGGTTCGCCGAGCAAATCCTGCGAGTGCTAGTGTGTGGGTGGTGTGTGTATGTGTGTGTATATATGTATGTGTGTAAACTAAAACTAGGAGACTCAGGTAACTCAATATAAATAAATGGTAATACTTGTTACGGTAATAGGATATATAATAATGATAAATAAGATACTAATAGTAATTACGGCCCCTTTGGCCCAACATGTAAAAATATAATAATATAAAGTAGCTGTTAGAGCTACTACAAAAATATAATAATAATAAATAATAAAAAGATAGCTATTAGAGCCACAATATAAAAAATAATGATAAATAGCCCTTCTGGCTCAATGAATGTAAATATATAATAAATAAATAATAATAATAGTAATTAGCCCTTTTGGCTCAATGAATGTAAATATATAATAAATAACTAATAATAAAAGCTCACAGTTTGTCGGCGCACTGCTGGCCAGCTGCTACCTAGCTATATAATAATAATTTCACACACAGATGCTAATACGAAAAAACAATAAGAACATTAATGATAATACAAGTGGCGATTTGCGCACACAATATGTATGTAAAAAAATACGAATATAGAGTATAGACGTATAGTATAAGTAACAAATAAATAATAATTAATAATTAAAGGCTGCGATTCGCGCACACAATAAATAATAAAAAATATAACTTCGATTTTCACAACAGAAAAAATAATTTAAGAAAAAATCGGACGTTGGTCTTTGCGTTACGACGTATGACAAAAGACAAGTTAATGCGGCGGCCGCGTTAATCTGCGCGCACCGGCGCGGCGAGCCGGCGGCAGCAGATAACGCGCCGATAATTAATTTAAATAATATTATATAATTCACAAAACACAATATAATTAAAACAAAAATAAATATAAAAATAACAGCTAGCGTAATATGAGTGTTTGTGTGTGTGTGTGTGGATCGGTGGCGGTGACCGTGAATTTGTAATTATTTTTATTGATATTGTTAGCACTATTATTTTATTTTTTTATTTTTAGTGTAAGCTAATGTTGCATTTTTGTTAAAACTAAATTAAAATTAATAATATAAAAATAATCACTGTGACATCGTTATCGCACCGCCGTGTCGTGGAAACTTTGATATAAGTAGTTATTTTTAAAACGTGTTTAATTTATTTATACTTAACAAAATTTGGTATCTATTGTACGTATATTTATATCTATTATTCTATTATTATACGTAATTATAATTATAATTTTAGAGTATTATTTGTAGATCATTATTTTTCATTTGATAATGAATTTGATTGATGGCACTCATGCCATTGCTCTTACCTTGTTTTATTTTTTCCTGGCCACCAAGCTCATTTCAATCGGGAATAACTACTTCACACACTTCCTCCCATAGTTTTTTCTTCAGATTTATATCAGAGTACTCTTTTAATTGTTTTTTGTATAGTGCAGGTCTCTTTTCAATTTCTTCTATCAAATTTTCGATAGACGTTTCTACAAGCATCGACATCGTGCGACAACGTACTACCTTCCCGCTCCAAAGCTCTAGTGAATCGGCCGAGTCGGCAGAATAAAAATCGGCAGAGTGCGCGCGTGAAATTATCGCAATACTGATTAAGCAGTCGGCCGATAGTTTACCAACAGTTCAGTTTGAAGGCAATCGTGTAGTCCATCAAACTTATTTATCGGCCGATTTTAAATCGTTATAATGTGCGCTCTTGCATACAACTTTGTACTGATTAAGAACCCGACCAAACTATCGGCCGATATAAAGTCTGTAGTCTGCGATGTCTCTTAAACGTTGGTTAACTGTGTATGCACGGTTTAAAATTCACTGTGTTTTAAAACCGACACTGAACATTAAACTATTTATTTTGTTTGCCCATAACACCAAAACACTTTGGATGAACCGTAAATGTTTTTCTTAAACGTTGATTAACAGTGTATGCACGGTTTAAAAAATACTGTGTTTCAAAACCGACGTTGAACACAAAAAATGCTACTCCGGTGTCACTCCAGGTGATATTTAACAAATATTATATTTCTTCCTAGCCGTGGTCAGTGGTCGGTCAACGTTGTATCATTGATTATAAATACTATAGATTGTTCACTGAGCGGTTTTTCGGACGAGCGGATCACTGCAGCTAGTTCCAAGTTACGTACGCGCATGCGCACCAATTCCTATTATCAACATATCTTATCAATAACTGATAAGCACTTCGAAATTTTACAACTGTCAAATGCACAATCCGATATTATTTCAATAATTATTTACAATTTATAAATAATATTATTACAGTTTTACAATAATATGTCTCAATATTATTTATTAATTATTATCATTAATTAGTTAATAAGGTAGTCGTCAAAAGTTAATCTGGTCATACTAATATAAAATAATATTTATATAAAATATTATTGTAACATTATTTATAATTTATTATACTTGTATAATAGATCTTCAAATTAAAAAAAACCACTGGAAAAATGTATAATGAATCAAAAATAAGTTTGAGAGTTGCTATTGATAAAGCTTTACCTCATAATAATATATTAACTAAGGTGTTATAGTTAAATGTTAATTCATAGGCATTTCAACATTAATAATGTCTTTTCTATTTATCATATAGGTATCATTATTTATTATTATTATAGTACTGTATAATAATGTGAAAATTACAAAATAATCTAGCATTATGTATAATATTTATGAAATTATTAAAACAAACATAACACAGCAAAGATAATTTTTTTTAGAATGTACAGACTTCTATTTATAAAATATTAAATTATAACAAAACTTCCAGCTATCAGTAACTAATAACAAATAATAGAATAAAGATAAAGTTCAACTTGTTTTATGGATAATCTAATATTTTCATATATTTGACAGTTGTAAAATTTCGAAGTGCTTATCAGTTATTGATAAGATATGTTGATAATAGGAATTGGTGCGCATGCGCGTACGTAACTTGGAACTAGCTGCAGTGATCCGCTCGTTTTTTCGGTGGCACGATAAGAGTCGGGAACGATAAGAGTCGGGTAACGCTATGAGGCGCTGTAGTCAGGGATGGCAATATTTTTGTGAACATCGATGTTTTAAAAAAAAAACAAATATACATTTTATAGGAAAAAAAATATTATTCTTTGTTATAACCCATAAGCTAAATTAATTATAAACATTTTAAATTTAAACATACACAATCAACTCAATTTATATACTTATTTATTTGAAAAATTAAAAAAAACATTGTGTAAGAAAATTAAATAAATACAGTTTACAGTCAAATTATAATTACAATAAAATCCCAAGTTATAACAACACTTTTTATATATTATTTTAAATGTAAATAAATGTAGTCATTCAGATAGAAGCCAAAATTGATCGGCCAAGTTGTTTAAAAAAATCAATTTTGATGCAGATTTTCCACATAATCGGTTTCTAGTTTTTGATATTGTATTACTAGCACAAGAAAATAGCCTTTAACTTGGGACTGATGTACTAACACCAGATAAATATTTTGTAGCTAATTTATGAATTAATGGATACATTGGTTTTAATTCTTCCCAAGTAATCAATGGATCTGTTTTTAATGGAGATACTGGTGTAGACAAATACATAGTGATTTCAGGGCCTAAATGTCTTTGATTTCCTTGATTAGTTTTATCAACAAAAGTTTTAAGTGATTTTTGAGCCAAATTTTTATGATGTCCCCATAAGTCTATAGTACCATATTCCGAAGTAGAGTCAGAAGAATCAGTTGAAAGATGATCATTTTCTACTGTTGAACTAATACTATTTATTGAATTATTTATAAATTTTAAATGTTTTGAAAGTGTTAGAGCATCTTTAAAATGTATATTTTTGAATCTTGGATCAAGTATAGTTGAAACAGACAGTAAATAATTTTTTTCAATAAATTCAAACCGCTTTTTCATCTCATCAGTTATAGCATTTTTGAACTCTACTCCAATTCTGGAAGTTGGTAACATTGTACTTAAATTATCATTGATGCAACTTATAATAGGAATTACCAAACTCATTGTTGCATATTTTTGCCCCGAAATTTCTGATGTTACTTTTTCAAGAATTTTTAAAATATTAACTGCTTCTTTGATATTTTCAATTTCTTGACCATTCAACATTGGAGGTGCATTTATATGTTTTAATACAATTTGATTCACTACTTCTTTTAGTTCTAAAAATCGTTTGCACATGAAATAAACAGAATTCCACCTAGTAACGACATCTAAAATAAGTTTTTTTATATTATCTCCATCTTTTTCTTGCAATTTTCTCAATTCGTCAGAACAGTTCACACTTATTTTTATAAATTTTACAATATTTCTTACTTTACTAATCAAATCAAGTAATCCATCAACTTTTTTCATAGATCCTTCGGCAACCAAGTTAATTGAATGAGCAAAACATCGTAAATGTTTATTTTCTCCAAAATTTTCTTTTATTGCTTTTATCATTGTAGAATTATTATCTGTTACTACAGCCAAAATCTTAGATTTGGGTATATCCCACAAATTTAATATATTTAAAAGCTCATGAGAAATATAATTGGCTGAATGAGATTTTGATAATTCAAAAATACCCAATGCAGCAGAACATAACTTTGTAGAATGTATAAAATGTATTGTAACTCCGAGATAGCTTTTGGTAGTCATCATTTCGGACCAAATATCCGTAGTTATAGTTATGTCTTCAATTTCTTTTAAAAAATATTTAAAGTTTGAAGATACAACATCATACTTCTGTAGGATCCCGGGCTTTTATGGTGTTTCGAGTAGGAACTTTATACAGCGGTGCAACTTCTTTCATCAGTTTCTTAAATCCTATGTCATCGACGACTGAAAACGGTTGATTGTCTTTGCAAATAAAATATACAATTGCTTCAGTTATTTTAATGTGTTTTTGCCCTCCGCCTGTTAAAATATATAAATAATTATTTACATAAATGCATAATTAGCAGGATTGATGAAATTAGCAAAATCAAATTAATAAATTAATTTTATTAATTATTAATAAATACTAACTTGAAAAACTAGATATTTTATGTAGTGACCATTCTAGAGTAGGCTGTTTCATGAATTTTTCAGTAACATTTGAGGAGGTACTTCCGCTTGGAGACTGTGTATAAGTTAAGACAGATACATCAGAGGGCAATGCGTTAGAAATGTTTGCAGTTTCTTGAGTTTGTGGCTCTGGATCATCAATATTGTTCTGAATTCTGATTCCAGGAGTACAATATGAACTCATTGCCTGTTTAAGTAGTTATAATTAATATACTTATAGGTAATAATTAAAGCTAAATAACACCTTAGTAATTTTAACTGTAGATTAATACAAGTATTGCATTTAGTATTAACTTAAGTGATTGCTTGTAAACTGTGACATGATTCAATATAAAAAATTATAAAATTTAAAAATAAATCAATAAAAATTCAAATAGAAGTCTTATATTTAGATATAAATATACTATTATGTATAAATAAGAACATTTATTGTATTAATATTGGTGAGACTGATGACCAACAATTTAAACATGCCCGACATCCAAATTGTTTTAAAAGCTTAAAAAATCACTAAGTATTGTGTATACAGTTGAAATGTAAAATTATATAAGTATGATGGTAAATAACTTAGGTACCACCAATATAATTGTGATTTCTTGAGTTTTTGTATTTTATATTTGTTTTACTGTCCTGTTTATTAAAATTGTTTTAAAATTGTTCTTGTAAACTATCAATTTGTAAATTTTTAATTATTTAAAATATCCAGAAGTAATAATCTATCCATTTAATTTTTATAAATGTAATAGTTTTTAAAAAAAAAATACTTTTGAACTGAATGAAATAGCATGTGAAACAAACATTTTCTCTTCAACATTTTAAAACTTATGGATAATACACTTAATATGTTATTGGATAAAGATAAAAAGATGAATTTTACTTTGTAAAAATTATTATTTAAAATGTACTTACCTTTTCTTTTTTATTTGGAGATTTTAAATTTGTTTCACTAGGTAGTTTATGCAACTTTTTAAATGGCCCATTAAATTTGATGTATTTCCAGAAGTTCGTAATAGTTTACCACAAACTTTACACATAGCGTTTCCATTAGTTTTTTTTTCGAAGTATTTCCAAACTTCCGATTTATACTTAGACATTATATAACGTTGTACAAATCAAATTATTAACAAATTGTATTTTAAGTAATAAATTATTAAGCAGCTTAAAAACAATTATCAAAAAAATAAAAATAACAAAATATGGTACTGAACAATGAACTATTGACTTGTCTAGACGTCTGTAAGTATATTACGCGCAAACTGCACACTGTACGGACGTAAACCTATTTTTTTTTTTAAATACGTAATTTTTCAACGTTTTGTGCACAGAATGCGTGTTTTAGATTCTGAGAGTAACAAATTTGCTCAATTTTTTCCTCATAAGTAACGTACTTACTTAAAAAAAAAAAATTGTATAATTTCATATTTTATAAGCGTCTGATGTTTGAATTTTGTGTCTTGTATTTTTTTAATAGGTCAATTCACTCTAAATTTTAAATTGACGGAGATAAACGTGATCTGCTGAGTGTAAAATTTGGTATGCTAAGCACTTGTACGATGGAGATAACACATTCGGGTGTAGTGTCCTCTTAAGATAGATAGGAAATGGGGAAAATAAAAGAGCTGTCTAAAACTATACAATTTAAATGTACCTATCTGCTAGGACAAACACTGGCGTGGTGTATAAATCTCCGAAAATAGTAAAGGCATATCGAAAATATTTCCTCCACATAAAACTGTTCGTCCGCATTAAACGCGTTGTGTATATTTATTATTTGGTTTATTTATAACTGCACTGTTAAAATTAAAATATCTATTATAGTAAACAGTAAACACATTGATAATTTACTGACCACATTGTTTGCTTACCGACGTCGTGTAAAGCACTATTCACTACTCCTGTCTTGTGTTATTTTTTTCATTAAAATTTGTCATTCAATCTAAATAAATTAAAATATGGGTGGTGACAGATGCATGTACAGAGGATGTCAGAATACGCGAAATAATTCTCTAAAAATATTTCACCAATTTCCTACTAATGAAGTTGGATCAAGGAAATGGATTATAAACTCTGGTATGTATTTAAATAACAGTTGTAAAAAGATTTGCAATTTGGTTACAACTTATAAACGACTACAACATGTTATATTATCAATAGGACTGGGATTTATATGTTAAAATATAATTCATTGTTTTTAATTTCTATTTTCTAATCAATAAATATTATAAAATGTGGTTAAAATTATCGAAGTTTAAATGTATAACACTACTAAACCATCAAAATTATTATCAAAATTTACGAAATATGTAAAATAAAAGCGGAAATCTTCCTAATTATGTAAAAATATGTATAGATGACGAAATATGTAAAATTAAATATGTCTTATTTTATTTCAAATTACGTGAAACGAATTGAGGCTATGAGAGCAAAAGTGGCCTAACTGACTAGCGTGCGTAATTAAGTTATATGCGTTTTATTATTAAGTATATTTTCGATGATTTTTTTCTCATAAAATTATGTTATTATTAAGAAGTGTGATTATCAGTTAATAATTATAATTGAATTTTTTTTCATCAAGATACTTACACATGCAAATTTTTGAATAATAAATAGAGAAAATGTGACTTAGGCCACTCTTACAGTATAGCATTGATGCATTGGCTGATGGTTAGGCCGCAATATGACGTAATTAGATAATATAAAATAAAATTTATTTTTTATTTTTTTAAATATTAAGTCACAACTTGATACATAAAAGTAATATAATATAATAATAAAATACGTAAGATAAAATTTGAAAGAAATCTTTAGTTTGAAAACAGTACAATTTTTAAAGTAATATAAATCACAGTCCCGTGGTATAAAAATAAAACAAAATTATAATGAATACTCCAACAATTTATTATTATTAAAAACAATTAAAAAAAAAAATAGTTTAAAATTTTACGTACTTCGTAGTGAAAGCAATTTTTCTCACTCGCTATCTTCTTGTGTACGTATAAAGACGTCATTTGGTACCTCATTCGAAGTCTTGAGGCTTTGAAAAAAAGCGTGGTGTACTGGAGGGACGTAAGCCATAAGTTCTAGAAGGTCCTTTTTCTTCTCTACACTTATACAATTACCAGTTGGGTGTAAAAGTTCTAAGCTAGTTATTACTCGAGATGTTCTTTTTTTTAAGTCTAGCTCATCAAAGTCTATCTCCTCTTGGTTTGTATATTTATATTTCAAACTGAAAGGTTGAGAGCTTTCGAATCTAAGCCACTGCATTTTAAGCCATTCCACTTTATCTTTAGTTTTAGAAATTTTCCTTCTTGTAATATTATTTTCCAAACTCTTGGATGAAAAAAAATCATTAGTATACATTTCAACAACTGTAAATGGTTTTATCTTCCTTGCACTTGTTATTACACTTTTCCAGTCATCGGGAATGTAAATGTTTGGATAGTATTTTTTTGATTTTTCGATCAATCCAAAATCTTGGTCACAAGGTAGGTAGGAATGTCCACTACATAAAAATTTATGATCAATTTGGGATACCTTAAATTCTGGACTTGTAGTTATATAGTTGCACATTAATGAAAGCTTAATGTTTCTGTTTTGCCCACCACACTGGTCCGAGTACATGATAAGTTTTTCAGTTTTAACAAAATTTTTTATGTAGTGCATCAGGCACGACCCGATTTCTTGTGAACCTCTAGATGCGATAGACTCTTGCCATTGCAGCGAAGAAGTAAGATCCATCCATGAAAATACCTCAAATTGTATAAGAGGGTTACTCCACTGTTTTACATACTCCCGTGCCGTTTTGTAATAATTATCGACTTTTTCGTCGAATAATTTTATCGAAACAAAAAGCTGAGCATCGTCTTTTATTTTATTATATTCAATTTTAGTTTTGATTCCCAAAAAGTTAGCTTCGGCGCGTTCTGAAAGTGTTTGTTCTAAATCGTTTATAATTTTTTTGACTTCTATAATGATAATATCAGATTTTTCTATTTTTTTGATTTGTTTCTCAAATAAAAATGTTTGACAATGTAAAAACAAGAAATAAATTTGTGACAACGGATTGTTGAAAAAATCGACGATTGCTTTTGGTGGTCTTGTTTCTTAGAGAAAGAAATTTTTTAGTGGTTCCCATAACTGTAGAATACGTTCAATTGCTGGCAACAAAGACAGCCATCGAGTTCTCAAATGAGACTGTAAATTAGCATAATGTACATCAGCCTCCTCACAAAATGATTTAAGACGTTCATTTCTTACAGTAAATATGGAAAAATATTTATAAATTTTAAGTACTATAGACTCCACGTCAACAGAAAGTACGTCAGCGGATGTAGACGCTGTATTATGTAAAATATGAGCTGGACAACCTATGCCTTCGATATCTTTAGATAATATGGATTGAAGTTTAAAGTAAACATTGTTTGTTCCATGTCTGTCTCTCCCACCAAAATTAGTATTTGTATTATCTGCACTGTACGCGATTAGTTTATGTAAAGAAATATTTAAATTATTTAATGTATCAATACAAAATTTCACTATAATCTATGAAGTTTCATTTTCCAAAGAATTAAGCTTTATTAATTTTAATTGCATACCTTTTGTTTCGGAAAAATATTGAATTATAAGAGGAAACAATTTTTCCGCATTATGATTGCTAGCGTCCGTAAGAACTCCATAGAAAGGAACTTGTTCAATCTCTTCTTTAATTGTTTGCAAAGAATGTGGTGCCAATATATTTTTGATGATTGCTGTTGCTTTAGTCCGCGCAGTTGATTGTTTTGCGGCAATTTTTGAATCTGGATAGAGTTTTGAATTAAGTTTTGTGTTACAATCCAAAGAATTAAATGAATGATGGTGGTTAACAACTTTGTAAGCTGTTGTTAATTCTGTGGCACAGACTAAAATATCTTCTGGAGTGTTTTCCTTAACCATAAATGTTGAAATATCTCGTGAAGAGGACGCTATCGATATATTGGACTTATGAGTATTAGACTTGTTGTGGTCATGTATTGAAGTCTTACCACTGTGACTCACGGAAATAAATATATTGCATATTGTGCAATGTGCTTCATATTCATTTCGACCCCTTTTTATGAACGACCATTCTTTGGTGTAATTATCGGAAAAATGACACTTTCTCTTTGGCATTGTTGACTATTTGTAAATTGTAAAACCATACGAAACTACAAAATCACGATGAACGAGAATACACTGAATACAGACATCAAACGACGTTGGTTAGATTCGAACTAATGCGAACTCAATGCATGCATGTTGACTGACATAAATAGAATTATTCTATTATGCCATAATAGCACAGTTCAATTATTATCAGTGAAGATAAGATAGGAGTGTCCGACGTGAAATTCATGGTTTTAGAATACAAATATAATTTTTATAAAAATAATTATTGGTACTAATATTATTTACACATAACCGGGACTTTTGTAGGGTCTAGTGGGACGACCGGGACCGAAGTCATGAACTGGTGACATGTCCCGGTGTACCGGGACGTATGGCAACCCTAATCTAATACCTTAATTTTCAAAATTATTATTTAATGATTTTTAATTAATTTCTTATAAATTGGTAACCATAAAAATAAATTACAAGGATAGGTAAGTAATGCATTATATAGAAACCTAAAAAAAATACAACATACATGATTATCAAAATAAAAATATTATTAACCTGGATTCTTCTTCACAACTGTATATTTTGGAGAATAGCAAGGTTGAGCAGTTTTAGTGACAGTTCTGGCATTAGCATAAGGAATATTGCTACAACTAACAAAGCATCGCTATCATCTATATAGAGCATTGTTAATACAGCAGTGCACTTATTATTAATAAATATTTTTAACTATATATAAAAAAAAAATAAATTATAAAATATAGGAATCATACCTATTAAATCAATGTTGATGAATGAAGTGTCTAATACGTAGATGTATTCCAGATACACCGGAATCAACAAGTTGAGATTGGACAGATCGTTCACAAGAATCTCCTACAATTTCTGAGGCAGAAGACACATTTACCGTTGATGGTGGAGAGTAAATAGGCAGTTCGACATTTAAATCTTAAACATTTTACTTTATTTTATACATTTAAACTTACAAGTTAAATTATATTTGATATATAAAAATAAACTACATAAAGATAAAAAATGAAAGATATATTATTCCAACCACTCATTTATACCCCTTAATACTATTTCCCAGCATTCAGCAATAACATCAAAAATATTAGCTATTATTACATACTTGTCAAATTGGTTGAAGGGTAGGCATTAGCATTAAGCCTTTTTGTGCCAGGACTTGAGCAATCACTCGTAAAATGTTTCTCACAAATAAATTTTTTCTTATAGACGGATTCTGGATCAATGTTCTTCAAGCCTATTATATTCATCCACTGTACCAATCTTTGCAATTCCGTTTTTGGATTCGGAAATCGGTGACAAACAACATCTAATGCATAAACTAAATTACTAATTAATAGTAGATACTAGAACTAGGTACTACAATAGAAGTACTATATTATTGTTACATACCTTTTGATTTACAATGATTCACAACACATTTCGATGAATTTTTGGGTGGCATAATTAAAGATGATTGTTAGAACGACGCCACGACACGACGGGGAAGGGGGCTTATCAGACGATGTGTTGACCGATGCTATGCCGGATTTACTCTGACTATTGCACCATTGACCGAGTCACAAACCGTCCGATAAGTGTGGTCTGGGAGGCCGCTTTTCCTACTTTGCGCAAGTCTGCCCGGGTGGGTCTTACTACAAAGTCGAAAAGACAGAAAATGGTAGTGATGGTCGTGTCGTGGGGTCTTTTATACCCAGTCTATCGGCAATTAGACCGGGTCGGTTCCGTGTTCTGTGACAGAAATACGAGAAGATACCTGGTGAATCAGTGATTACACCAAGTCGGTCTCGTGTTCTGTGACAGAAGGCATGAAAAACCGAATCGTTTATTGCCGATAGACGTACAATTATCCGGGATAAGTGCAAATGTCCATACTCCTCCACGCATATTATCCAAATTATAATTCAGATAACATGCATAGAAAAATACAAACCCCTGCACTTATCGCGCACAGCGCAGACAATAACAAGATAATACATATTCCATTACACGCAGCGAAACAATAATATAAAAATAATACAGTAGGTACACTAAATCGTTAAATTACAAAATTTAAAATAGGTACGTTAAATAGTAAATACAACAATTTCACTTTTCACAATGCGGAATCATACGTAGATAAGTAAATAATAGATAAGAATGTGACGAGCAAATCAAAACCACCCTGATCCATGCACATTATTATCAATTCTCTGTTATCACTATAACATATTTTTCGGTTGATGCTCTTATCATTTTTTGGACAACTGCCTCCAATCTGCATATCATAAAATAATAAAAAAAATTGTTATTGTTGTATTACCGTTTAATATTCTTTTATATAATTTTTAACGTTTTATTTTGCAATATGGATAAAAAAACAAATCAAAAGGGTGAAAACTGTTGCCATATATGTAACAAAAATTTTGTTAGATCCACAAAATTACGTAGACATATCGACGATATACATAAAATACCTGGAACTTGTTCCAAGTAAGTTATTAACAAAAAACTAGGGAACCATCTCGAACATTGAGTAGAATACTGGTGGCGGTATTTTGCAAATATGAACTAATTAACTAAAAATGTGTGTTTTGCATTTATTGATTTTTATATATTTTTTGTTATTTTATGTGTATTTGTATTGTAAACACAAAATGTTGAAAACTGTCGTCAAAAATGTAACAACAATTTCGCTAGATCCACAACATTCAACGTTACGCAGACATTTTGACAGTATACATAACACCTGGAACTTGTTCAGAGTAAGTTATTAATAAAAAACTAGGGAACTATCTCGAACATTGAGTAGAATACTTACTGGTGGTATTACCTTAAATCACTGTTGATCAGGACCCATAAAAATTGAATGCTCTTTCTATTTTCACATTAATTTTATTCTTTAGGTGCAAAAAAACATTTCTGGACCTAAAATCTCTTAACCAGCATATTCGAACTGAACACAATCAAAGGGACAATTCATTGATGGAGTGTTGCAAGCTATGTGATGTTAAATTTAGCAATAAAAGCAATTTAATCAAACATATGCGCCAAATTCATCCAGCTGAAAATGAATATAAAAGCCTTGCGCCGTTGAAATGTCTTATGTGAGTCAACATTTAATGCTACATCAAAGCTTCACGAGCATATTGAAATAGACCATGATGTACACTTGGAGGTTGTGTCTAAGGTCTTTGAGTCTGTTAACGGTAAATATTTTCATTTTTCTTATTGTAATGATTGTTATCCATGTTTATATATTATAATAAACATTAAATACCGTGTGTCCGCGGAAACAGGTTACACTTTACCACTCATTACCCTGTATATATTTTTCAATTCTGTTTTCGGGACATTAAATTAGACTATTGGATCTTTAATTTCGATGACTTACAATTTTTTTACTCACGTATTTTACGCATGCGCAACACAACTTCACTTTTTTTAAATGGCAACCCCTATTTTGAATATCATTTTCGGATTAATGGATTTTTTTTTAAGTAATTTTGATCTAATAACTACTACTCTCAATCCAATATTGACTGAATGAGAGCGATTTAAAATTTAAAATTTAAAAAAAAATTATTTTGTTAACATTTTTTATTTACAATTCAATTTACAAAAATCACTAACATAAGTTACTCGACAAATTGTTCGAAAGTCCCTCCATTATTTAAAACGCATGCTTCAAATCGACGTAATCATACATTCATAAACATATGAATATTTACCCATTTTATTTTTAGTTGTATTTATTTTTGTCATAATTTTAGAGTTAATTTTCGTAATCTACCCATGCCTATTAAAATGCCATTACATAGATATTTTTTTGTTTAAAGACCTATTACGATATTCATTATCAGAGTCGTGTGTCATTGCGGTCTTAGTAGTTCTACGTTTTCTGTTAGTTATTGTTAATTGGTAATACCTATAAAGTTTGAGTTTTGTCAAAATAAAAATTCAATCATGAATAATCATGAAAAAGTTCAGTTACTGTTAATTTATGGAAAATATAACAGAAATGCACGTGAAGCAATAACGATGTACTCTCGCCAATATCCAGATAGGTACCACCCTCATTATACTTATGTTCAAAAACTTGAAAAGTCGTTAAAAGAAAATGGTTTGTTCAATAAAACAAATGTTGTTGAACAACAAACTCGTGCAAATCCAAATTTAAATGAGGATATTGAAAATCAAGTCTTGGCATATGTACATCTTAACCCACGTTCGTTTGTTAGACACGTTGGACGTGAAATTGGCGTATCCAAAACATTAGTTTATAAGATTTTAAAGAAATACAAACTACACCCTTACAAACCAGACTTTGTCCAACATTTACGTATAACAGACCCAGAAAAAAGATTAAATTTTATTTCTTGGTTTACGGTGGCGTCTGAGGATGATCCATTATTAATTAATCATATTTTATGGACAGATGAAAGTAAATTTACTAATAATGGAGTAATAATAAACAAGCAAAATAATCGTTATTGGTCGAATGAAAATCCTTACTGGGCTGTTCCTACAAACTTTCAAACATGTTGGGGTACAAACGTATGGATTGGTATGATTGGTGGAAAGTTACTAGGGCCTCATTTCTACGATGGAACTTTAACGGGAAGAAGATATTTAGATTTTTTGCGTGATGATTTGCCACTTTTTTTAGATGATTTACCCTTAGATACACGCAGAAACATGTACTATCAACAAGATGGGGCACCTGCTCATAATTCCCGAATTGTACAAGAATTTTTAAAAGCAAGATTTGGTGAAAAATTTATTGCATTACATGGACCAGTAGAGTGGCCTCCAAGGTCACCTGACCTTACACCGTTAGATTTTTTTTTTGTGGGGACATTTGAAAAATGCCGTGTATACTGATCCTCCAATCAACATTCAAGACTTAAAAAATAAAATTACACGCGAGTAATCTCTTGACTGAAAATCAAATACTGTCAGCAACTAATCGTGAATGTTCATGTCGATTTGAAGCATGCGTTTTAAATAATGGAGGGACTTTCGAACAATTTATCGAGTAATTTATGTTAATGATTTTTGTAAATTAAATTGTAAATAAAAAATGTGTAGTAGAGTTTAAAATAATAAAATTAAAATTAAATAATAAATGTTAACAAAATAATTTTTATAAATGTTTTTTTTTTTTAAAATTTTAAATCGCTCTCATTCGGTCAATATTGGATTGAGAGTAGTAGTTATTAGATCAAAATTACTTTAAAAAAATCCATTAATCCGAAAATGATATTCAAAATAGGGGTTGCCATTTAAAAAAAGTGAAGTTGTGTTACGCATGCGTAAAATACGTGAGTAAAAGAAATTGTAAGTCATCGAAATTAAAGATCCAATAGTCTAATTTAATGTCCCGAAAACAGAATTGAAAAATATGTACAGGGTAATAAGTGGTTAAGTGTACCCTGTTTCCGCGGACACACGGTATGTATATTTTTTTTATGATTCAGATTTTAAAAAGTGTCATTGAAAAAGAAGATCTAGCTTTTTTTACCATTCAACGAGTTAATGGAAATAGATTATACTATGGATGTTATAGATCAGGATCATCCCGGTTAACAGGCACAGGTAAAAGACTGAAATGGTCACATTCTAGTAAAATTGGTTCAAGATATCCTGCACGAATAGTTGCAACTAATATTGAAGGCCGCATTACAATAGATTATTGCAAGATACATGTGGGGCATTCCAAGTCAATTAAATTTTTACATTTGACTAAAGAGGAACGTGATGAACTGGCTGGTAAAATAAAAATTGGAGTGACTTTTGATCGAATCCTAGATGACATCCGTGAATCAATAGTGTCAAATGAGAATATCCACCACCTGCATATTGTCAATAAAAGAGATTTATACAATATTGTTAGAGACTCTGAATTGGATAGGGATGTAGTACATAAGAATGATGCGTTCAGCACTGAGATGTGGGTTCAAGAACAGATGGCACTCGTAGAGGACTCACCTGTTTTATATTTTAAAATGCAAGGATGCGAAAAAAACTATGATCTCTTGAAAGATGATTTTATGATTGTATTAATGACAAAATATCAGCAAGATGTATTATCAAAATATGCTATTGACAAAGTTTGCATAGACAGCACTCATGGGACAACAGAACATGACTTCCAGCTCACAACAATGCTTACCATTGATGAATTTGGAGCTGGATGTTCAGTGGCTTTCTGTATCAACAAGATTGATTCTGTAGCTATTTCTTAGTTTTTTAAATCTGTAAAGGGAAAAATGGGTCTTATTCCTGCCAAAATATTGATGTCTGTTGATGCTCCAACATATATCAGTTCCTGGACAAAGATAATGTGCAAGCCTCAACACAATTTAATTTGCAACTGGCATATTGATAGAAGCTGGAGAAACAACCTCAATAAAATACCAGACCCAATGAAGTAGTCTGAAGTATATAAAGCTTGCCGCACACTCATAGAAATTTTGGATGTTGAACAATTTCATAAGTCTTTAGAAAGTTTTCTGGCAATGTGTAACGATGATATTGACACTCATAATTTTGGTGCTTACTTTAAAAAACACTATACTCATCGACCTGAGCAGTGAGCATTTTGGTATCGAAGTGATCTCGCCTTAAATACCAATATGTTTTTAGAAACCATGCACAAAAAACTTAAATATTGTTACATGCATGGAAATCAGAACAGGTGAGTCCATAAATAAGTCACTTTCTAATGCGCTTTTCTCAAGACATGATGTTTGAACGTATCATTCGCATGGCAAAAAATAAGCCTACATTCCGAATGGAGCAAATTGCCCACAGTCATTATCAAAGCAACAAAATTGAGGACAGCAAAATAAAAATAATTGACTAGAAAACATGGCTTGTACAGTCATCTTCTGGGCCAACATTATACTCTGTGTCGATTAATGACCATAGAAGTTGTATGGCTGTCCTCTGTAATGCCCTGAATGAAAATATGTATTCATTATTACACTGTACATGCATCGATTTTAAAATTAAGGGGAAGTTTTGTAAACATGTTCATGCTTGTATACGCATATCTTATAAAAAACAAACCCGTTTAACTACTAATGAAGAAGTAACAACCTCAGCCTTTTAAAGTCATAATAATAGTGTTGTAATGGGATTACAGGAACAATTATTAACTCATCTAAGAGATACTGTGTCAGCTTCTAGCCAATTAACAGCTTTACTTAATGCTGCATTAGGAATTGCTAATTCTGCTACAGATGAAGGCAAACTTAAAGCCTGTAAAAAAATAGAAGAAGCTATTCAGATTTTACAATCAAATAAAAATGTGTCTGAAAACTCAAACTCATCTGGGCCCCATTTCTCAGAATTACCTGACATTCCAAGTCATAGAAATAAAGATCAACAACGTTTTCAATCAACAAGAAAGAAACGAAAATTAACCAGTGATAGACTGTCAAAACCAACTGAAAAGGAAAAGATATCTATTATAGAAGCTATTAATCATACCAATAGAACTAGCCAAGTTGTAAATACTGAATGTGATCATATATATTATAATCATAATATATTATAATAACTAATTTAATATTATCTTATAAATATGACAGTTGTTTTTGTAACATAACTATATATTATATATTAAGTGATAGAATAGTACCTTTTCATTTAAATGTTAAATATACTTTAATTATTTATTATTTAATATTTTTTTTAACAATTATTAACACGTTGGCTACCATGAGTATGTCCGGTGCTTCTCGACAAAACAAGCATATCCTACCGAGCTAATTTTTTAAAAACTTCTATTGCGTACCAAATCCATAATTCCATAACTAAGCAAGATAAAAATATTCTGTTTGGACCATTTTGATGTAGATTACATAGGGATCATTAGTATAATTGTTTTGGTGTGAGAAGTTCCGGTGACACACATGGTACAGAATGAATACATTTCATAGTTTTTCATATGAGAGTTACCGGGGACTCTCAGAAATATTTCATGGTTCTTCAACGAAATATCTATTTTTGAACGCTGTATTTAGATTTTGTTTACGTTAATGTTTAGATAAGCCTTATTTAAAGCTATTTTTCGCATGAAGATTATCGATAACGACGACGACGACAATTGGGTATAATTATAGCTAGAGTATTATATATATATATATATACATTTATTGTTCATTTCATATTATATTGGTTACAGTTTATTAATATTATTATTTTTATAGCCAAACTAGATTCTCTGTTACTGCAGTACTGTACACTGTATTATTGTTTAATTTGTTTAGTCCCTATTCATTAGTTGCTGCGTAAAGTTATCCGTAATTTTAAAACTATACCTTTTACGTAAAATTACGTAATTTTATCTTACGTACATTTTACCTTACGTAAAATGGATTCCGATGAAATTTTATCAGCACTTGAAACCGAATTTGAAGATTCTGGAAGTGATTTTATTCCTAGTGATTTATCTGATTCTTCTGATGAATCAATAGAAGATGTTATTGAAAATAGTCAATTTGACTTTGAAGATGATATTGAAGAAAATTCAAATAACGAACAGACTACGGAAATGCAAACTGATCACTGGTTTTATGTTTCAAGTATGTATAATAAATCATAAAATAATAAAATAAATGTAATTTACACTAAATCATTATTATTTTGTATATAATATTCGGTTACAATATTTATTATAATTGTATAGATGTACATCAACCAACATTCCCATACATTGGTAACGATCGAAATATTTGTAATCTTGGTCCAGACAGTAAGCCGATCGATTTTTTTTATCTATTTTTAAATAATGATGTTATAGAAATGATTGTGCGAGAAACAAATAGACAAGCCAAAAAATATAAAAGAGATTGGGTGGCTACTGACCATTTAGAGATAAAGAAAATGTTGACCATAGTCATGTATACAGGACTAGTCACTTATCCAAAATTAAGTGATTACTGGTGTCGAAAATTGCTATATAAAAACTCTTACATTCCTTTACTGATGCCTCGAAATCGTTTTCAACTTTTGTTGCGATTCTTTCATTTAGCTAATAATGATGACATTTTGGATCATGATCGATTAGGCAAAATTAGACCTTTAGTAGATATGTTGATGAAAACGTACAGTGATTCTAAGATTCCTGGTGAGAATGTAGTTATAGACGAATCCATGATACCTTTTCGAGGCAGGTTGATTTTCAGACAGTACTTACCTAATAAATCATCAAAGTATGGAATAAAATTATACAAATTATGTGACTCTATAGGGTATACATATAAAATAATTGTATATAGTGGAAAAGATTCTAATTTATCTCTTCAGACAAACTTTCCTGCTGCAGGAAAAGTTGTTATGGAATTAATGGATGGATATTTAAATGAAGGCAGGACTTTAATAGTTGATAATTTTTATACTAGCTTAAAATTGGCACATACATTACTCCAAAACAATACCCATATGGTAGGTACACTACGAAAAAATGCCAGAGAATTGCCAAAAGACGTGATGAATGCAAAAATTAAAAAGGGAGAAATAAAAGGAAAAGTAAATAGCAAAGGTGTTGTAGCAAGTGTCTGGAAGGATAAAAGAGAAGTAAGGATGATTTCTACTAAACATGGTATTAATATATTGGAAACAGGGAAAAAAAATAGGAAAGGTGAACCCATAAAAAAACCAGAAAGTATAATATTTTATAACAAACATAAACAAGGCATCGACGTCTCCGATCAAATGACCAGCTACTTTTCTCCTTTCAGAAAAACTATTCGGTGGTACCACAAAGTAGCATTTCATTTGTTATTAGGAACATCAGTAATTAATGCAATGATACTACACAAACAAATTACAGGTAAAAAAAAACAAATTTCTGAATTTAGAGAGGAAATTATTATGGCTTTAGGAAAAGTTGATGATCAAATTATTTCTCCGAGGTCTAATAAACATAAGTTGGTTGAAAATAATCAGTATAGGAATAATAGTAATAAGAAAAAAAGGAGTAGATGTGTTGGTTGCTATGAACGATTAAGAAAAGAGTTAGGAAGAAATGAGGCACAAAAAAAATGTAAACAAGTGAATACCTTGTGTGAGACATGTGAAACTAACCCTTATTATTGTATAGACTGTTTTCAAATTTATCATAAATAAGTTATAAATTTGTTATTAAATTTGTCATATAATTGTTTTTTATTTAGACAAGTGTTGTATTTTTTTTTTTTTACCAAGACAAGTGTTGTATTTTTTTTTTTACCAAGACAAGTGTCATATTTAAAAACTATTTAATTTTAAGTAAATATTATGTTATTAAACATTTAAAAGATTCTTATGATGTTATTTAATATTTTATATAAGTATACATGTACAATAATAGTATTATGTAAAAGTAGTCATTAATACATTTTGATTGTATTTTATTTTATTACATTAAATATATAAAACATTTAATATGATCCTTGTGTGTTTTTTTTAATAAAAAATCATATGCATAATGAAAATGTACATATTTTAAAAATCGGGAGTTACCGGCACTTCCCATTATACCCCAAGGTAAATAACATAATAAAGATTTTATTCGTTTATAGTTTTATCCAATAGAGCACGCTAACAGTATATACTGAAGGTACTAAACTAAGATAAGCTGAGTGTCACCGGTCACTCCCACAGTATAGCGAGAAAAACAATGTGAGAGTTACCAGTACTACACATGGTAACTAGCGCAAGTTGGTTGAAAAACAGATTGGTAGCCAACGTGTTAACTTTTTATACATGTAATTATTTATTTTTTACAATAATTTTTAAATATGACCTGTGCTAATATAATGTATCATAGTTTAACTTTTTATTGTAATGTGAAATAATATATATTATCAATAATAATTTGTTATTATTCTAGAATATTTTAGAGTATTAACTATAGAACAAAAAATAATTTACTTTTTATTTTACTATTTATATACCTTTACTGTTTTTTTATCTTTCAATAAACAGGGCTTCGTTATTAATAAATAATATAGTATCTACTTACCGTTATATTTTTGAAATTAACTTAAACAAATTGTTGTACACAGGCCATGGCAGCCGACAGCCGTGATCTGTAGCTCTAGATAGTAATTAATAAGTACTAAAAAAAATAGTTATACTTGAATACTAAACTACAATAAGTAGAATAGACTGAGTAGTAAAGCGATAAACTGCTAATAATACTAATATTTAATAGACATTAGACAGAACCAATGGGTATCAGAAATTGATATTTCATAAATTACAAGAAACGAACCTATGGGTAATACTAAATACACTGAGCAATAATAATTATTGTTATTTTTGGAATCTATTCTAACATTATTTAAATAAATATTACATAATTTATTATACAGTGTGTAGAAGCAGTAAACGTTAAATAACCGCACAAGTACATTATTCTATTTTTAAGTTGGTCACACTTGAAATGTCAAAATTACCGAAAAATGTGTTATAGTGATAACGAAGAATTGATAATAATGCGCATGGGTCAGGGTGATTTTGATTCGCTTGTAGAAGGGGAGCCCACGACAATCAGCGCTAACGGTGGTTGTACGATAGAACTATACACGGTACCAAACGCTCCTATAGAGTTGCACAACCCTGGTCGCGGACTACATGTCTTACTACGTCTACCTACACTAGCTGTTTCTTTGTGAAAAAATTTAAACTTTAACTTTAGCTAAAGCTAAATTTAATTTAAATTTACGAAAAAAATGACATCCAGTAATTCTGACAAAGAACTTCTTATTCTACTTTCATTGAAGAACAAAAAGAAAAGGAGAAAATGGATGCACGAAATTAATGAAAAAAGAAGAATTTGGCAAGTTTCACCACCTCTGCAAAGAACTGTCAATTCACGAAGACCGTTTTGTAAATTTTTTTCGTATAACTTGAGAACAATTTGAGGAAATACACGAACTCGTATCACCGAGGATATCAAAACTTACGACAAACTGGAGAAAACCTATTGGGACAAAAGAAAGGCTAGCAATTTGTTTGAGGTAAATAAGTCTTTATAAAATATATACATGAACTAGATCAGCGGTGGCCAACCTTTTTTTATATTGTGCCAAATAATAAATACAAAATTGAGAATGTGCCTTGAAAAATATTGATTTCTATAAAATATAAATTTAAATTTTAGATTTTTTTATATAAGTAGATACAATTTTTATGACTGTTTAATATTAAATTTGTTTGGTGGATATTATTTCTTCATAATTTGGTTTAATTTTAGTTGAAGATATAAGCATTAAATTTTTTAAATGAGAATTCGTAAGTTTTGTTCTGTACTTATTTTTAATGAAAGTCATCCGAGAAAAACTCTTTTCACATATATATGTAGACCCAAATCTACTAACCAATTTCAACGCTAGACAAGTCAGTTTTGGAAAATCTTCCTCTGATACGCATTTCCGAAATTCTACAATATCAGGCAAACTCTTTATATTTGCATTTTAAAACTGCTGAACTTTGAAGTTCAATAATTTCCAATTGCATGTTGTGGTTATATTTTTGGAGATCATCTGTCGATATGATAAATGGATTAATAAATAAGTTATTTAAATCTTCTTCTTCTTTAAATCTACTGAATCATTCTTGAAAACTAACAAATAGTGTTGAAATATGATTTTTAAAAATCGTCAAAGGAATATCTGATGGTAGATAAATAGATTTTAATCGTACAAAATGATCCAAATTTCCCATTTCTAAATTACTTTCGAACAAATCAAGTCGAGACATGAAAGAATTTATAAAACCTACAAGGACTGGAAATAAATTTCCTTCACCTTGGAGTCGTTTATTGAGAATATTTAAATGTCCGAGAATATCAGTTAAAAATGCGAGGTCATTTAACCAATTTTTATCTCTCAGTAGCTTACATTCATCAGACAATTCATTATTATTTTCTAAAAATTCTATAATTTCGTTTTTTATATTCCAAAATCTTTCTAGCGCTTTTCCTTTTGCAAGCCATCTTACTTCACAAAACAATAAAAGTTCACCGGATTCGTTAATAACGTCTTCAAATAGAGTTCTGAATAATCGATGATTTAAAGGCCGAGCTTTTATTTTGTTAATACATCGAGATACTGGTTTTAATACATGATCAAATTTTAAGACTTTGGCACATAAGGATTCTAAGTGTATAATACAGTGATATTTATTTAGCTTTCTATTCAAAAATTCCTCCAATAAGGTTACACAACCGATATTTTTACCTATCATACATGGAGCGCCATCTGTGCATACACTTTCAAGTTTTGACCAAATTAAATCGTCATTTTTTAATAACAAAGTTTCGACACAACATTTTAGTTTATTAAATATATTTATACCTTTTGTCGATGTTTCAAGTGCTTCAAGTCCTAAAAGTTCTTCTGTCACTTCAAACTTGGAATTTACACTTCGAATAAATATACATAATTGTGGATTGTCCGTAATATCACAGCTTTCATCAAGTGCAAGAGAAAAATATTTGGAATTGGTAGTATTACACGAAATTTGTTTTGAAATATTTGAGGAAATTTCATCAATTCTTCTCATAATTGTATTATCTAGTTACTAGATATATAAACTATAAAAAAATTTGTATTTTAAATGATGAATGACATAAGAATATATTGTTTGTATATAATTAAGTAAGTAGTATTTTTAAATATACATAAAAATGAATTTTAGTTTTAATAGTTTTTAGTAGTTGTTTCTCGGCTGTGTATCAAGAAACATTGATACGTTTTCATACAAATCATTAGTTGACTGAGTATGAACCGGGTATGATCCTAGTATCAAAGAATTTGTAGATTTAGGGTGTGTAATGTTTGAATAATTGAGTCCTTGAATGCTATCACGAATATCATTATCAGCTTCTCTTGTGTAGTCATCTGTGTATACGTTGGAATAATTGAGTGCTTGAATAGTATTACCAGTGTCATTTCAGCAGCTTGGTTTGGTTGACATCTGACCAAGACGAAGCTGTGGAGTACATTAAAGAGGAGCGTGTTGAATTATGACAGTCAACCTCATTAAGTTCAGCTCGTCCAAATAACTGTGACATCTCCATTTTAAGAATAGCTTGCGTTCTTGGCGAAAATGTCTTAAACGCATGTTATACGACAAGAAGAGATTGTCAATGTGATCGAGTTTTGTATGGGTTTTATTGCTATCTTTTTTTTCAAGATAGCCAAGTACCGCAGCCACATCTTCTGTTAGTTCTTTCCGTTTGGCTGTTCTCTTAAGTGGTGGTATTTGCGTTGGGAAAGTTACATTTCCACTGTCAGACTCATCCGGCTCATAATCTTCATCAGTGATCGATGTTTCGTGGATCTGTGATACTGATACGTTTGAAGTGGTTGCTCATGGTGCTACTCTCAAAAATTCCAAATGAGCCGCCCATGGCCAATTATTGTATTTTTTGCCAGATCAGGTAGATTCTTTTAAATACTTTAAATATTTCATATAAGAATCACGCAGGTTCTTCCATTTCTGTTTCACAATTTCAGCTGTCATACAAAACAAAGTATATAGAATAAATAGGTACATAAATACTAAAAGAAAAAACTTAAAGTATTTAAAGTAAATTATATTTTATTTAAAGTATCTACGGTTATAAGTTTTAAGTTGAATTAGAAAACCTTTTTATCGCTATATGATATTTATTGATATTTCAGATATTTGACAACAGGAGATTCACGTCATACTATAGGTTTTTCTTTCTGAGTCGGACGTACTACGGTTTCTAGCATAGTGAAAGAAGTATGTGTAGAGCTATGGAAAGTTTTACAGTCTCTATATCTAGTTACACCCACAGAAAAAGTATGGAAAAATTCAGAAATTGGATTTAGAGAGCTTTGGAATTTTCCCAACTGCATAGGAAGCATAGACGGAAAAAAAGGTGAGAATAAAATGTCCTCCTAAGACTGCGTCAAGTTTTTTATGCTACAAAAATTTTTTTTCAATAATTCTGTTTGGCATAGTAGATCCTAACTACAAGTTTTTAATTGTTAATATTGGTAGTTATGGCCGTCATCGTGACAGTAGTATTTTTGAGAATTCATCCTTTTATCGCGAGTTCATAGAAGGTAAAACTATTTAACCACCTAAACCTTTACTTGGAACAACTACCCCAGTCCCACATGTTTTCGTAGGTGACGAAGGTTTTAAACTAGAAACATTTTTAATGCGCCCCTTTCCGAGAGCTGTAGTCGCACAAGATGAAGCTAAAAAAGTATTCAATAAGCGACTAAGCAGTCAGGCGCGGATCCAAGAGGGGGGGGGGGGGCTGGGGGCCGTGGCCCCCCCCCCAAATATCACGAAACGAAAAAAAAATCATCATATTTAAAAATTATATTTTTTTATAGCGACTATGAAAAAAACTGTTTAGGCTGTTATTTCTTAGTTTTTATGTTCATCATAAATATTAAATAATAATATATTACTATATTGTTTTGCGGATCGTTGAATCGTTCTATTTATAATTCGGTAATTCCTAATCGCGCCGATTGACGACATGACGGGCACCGGTCGTCGTCTCATATCGTAATCGCCCGCATTGATATGTCTACCGTTATAACTTATAAAATATATTTTCATTCCGTATCATTCATTTTGTTCTGTGCAACTATACATGAACTACTGAGTACTGACAACGAAGACAATGCATCTTTAAAAATGGTACGTATCGTAATTTGTATTAAATACATTTTAGTTTTATGAATTTATGATATTAATATACAAATATAATATAAAATTATTATCCAGACCATTTGAAATTGCCCATTCCCTGCATCAGTAGTTATTTTGAAATTGAATAGGTACAAAATAACATTTATAATCAATAGTATTTATTATTTAGTATTAATTATAATTATTTTATTATCTATCATTATTGAATTATTCACAGACACAATCATCAAATGAAAAAAGAACTATAAATTCATATTTTTTACCTGCTAAAAAACAGGTTTTAGAAAATGATACATCCTCTTCTCAATTAACACATGACATATTGACGTCCAAAACATCACAATTTCCGTCTCAAATATCATCATGCCAATCACCAACTCCATGCCCTTCTTCAACTCTGATACTACCAATGCCATCAACTCAAATACCTCAAACTTTTTACTCGACTGATATAGATCAATACATTGGAAATACTATTGATGATTATACAAAATGTCAGCTTCTTGAAAATCCTTGGGTGCACCAAAAGATTATGTGTTTCCTTATTCGGAACATATAAAAGGAGGAAAACCGATACGCCGGTATGTCGGTCATCAACATTTGAATTCTTTCAATTGGTTGGTATTTTCTCCATCGAAGCAAGGATTATTCTGCAAATATTGTCCAATTTTTAATAATCTACACAAAGGTGGTTTTCAAAAAAACGTAAATTTACTAAAACTTGTAACACAGCCATTAGTTAAATTTGCAAAATTGTTAGGTGAAACAGGGGATTTAAAACATCACGAAAGAACACAGTACCACAAGGAATCTATAGAATTTGGTAAAAGTGTTTTGAAAACTTATCATAATCCTAATTTAGAAGTACATAATTTATTAAATACTAAACGTTTGGCAGAAGTTAATGAGAATAGAATGCGCCTTATTCCAATTGTCGAAAGTATTATATTTTTAGGCAGACAAAACATTTCACTACGAGGCCACAGAGATGACGGTATGTTATTAACAACGACTTCAATTAATACCAATAACCAAAGTACTTCTTTAAATGAAGGAAACTTTAGAGAACTATTAAAGTTTCGTGTTAAATCAGGTGACAGTGTTCTTGAAAACCATCTTCAAAACACTTCTTCAAAGGCCACATACATAAGTAAAACAACACAAAATGAAATTATTGAATATTGTAATAAAGTAATTTTAAATCATATTCTATCAAGAATTAAAAATGGCAGTGGTTTTTACAGTATCATATTCGATGAAACTCTTGATGTGTCAAAACGTTCACAAATTAGTTTGATGTTAAGATACATTTATAATGATACAATTAGAGAAGATTTCGTCATGTTTGTCGATGCTTTTGATGAAGCTTCGGCTCTACTAGAAGAAACTGAAGATAACAAGAAAAGTGAAGAAAACGGTGAAAAAAAAAAAGAAATTTCAATAACTGGAGAAGTACTAGGTAAAATTATTATCAAACAAATAAATAGTATTGGTCATGATTTGGAAAAATGTGTGGGTGTAGGGACTGATGGATGTAGCGTAATGGTATCAGAACTTCGTGGAGCTGTTAGTGAAATCATTAAAGTAGCACCTAATGCTCGCAGATGCCCTTGTTATAATCACTCGCTAAATAATTCTATATCACAATCTTCACGTGTCAAAAGTATCAGAAATCTTATTGGAGTAATTAAAGAAACTGTATCATTTTTTTCTGCATCAGCTAAAAGAACAGTTGTTTAAAAAAAATATGTTGGGCATCAATTGATTGGTTTATGCGAAACGAGATGGGTCGAAAGACATGAAGGAGTAATAAGTTTTATGCAAGGTATGCATAACATTATTGATGCATTGTTAGAAATTACATCATAGAAAGACTTGAATACTTCTGGAAAAGCTAAATCCCTAGCAACAGTATTATGTGACAGAGAAATTATTGTTTCACTTTGTAGTCTCTCTCATATACTTAGCTACACTCTTCAACTAAGTAAATGTTTTCAAAAAAAGTCTATTGATTTACATGAAGCAGCCAATATAATGAAAGATACACTAAATATTCTGTCAGAATGCCGAGAAAATGTTTCTACTCGGTTTAAAGAAGTTTATAAATCGTCCGAGAGTATAGCTAAAACTCAAAAAGTTGATTTGAAAATTCCAAGGAATTGTTCAAGATAAACAAATCGTGCAAATTATCAAACAAATAGTACAGATGAATATTATAAATTAAGCATATTTATTCCATTATTAGATAATGTCATTAATGATTTAAAAGCACGTTTTTCACAAAAAACACTAGAGTGCTTCAATCTTTCATATATACTTCCTAACAAGTTTATAAATGAAAATACAACTTCATATTCATTAAAATAATCAGAAATTATCTTAAAAGCATTAGCAGACGATTTTCAAGCACTTCTTTCAAATGATAAAGACATGGTATTTACTTTATTACGTTCAGAGTTTAGATTATGGAAACAAAAATGGAACCGTGAAAAACTTGAAAACATTTTAGTAAATTCCATGGGTGTTACAGAAATACTTGCAAAATGTGACGAAGAAATATTTCCGTTAATCAATCGCCTTTTGATCATTTTGATAACTCTTCCTATAAGCAATGAAAGTGCTGAGAGAACGTTTTCAACACTACGAAGACTCAAAACATGGCTGAGATCAACAATGTCAGAGACCAGATTATCTGGACTTGCTCTGTTCGATTCCGTGTGCTAATAAATAAAGATTATTTTATTCATAATAAAGTGCAATTTCAAATGCAACTATAATTTGTGTAAATATTTTAAAAATTATCTGTTTTTATCTAGATGAATATGGTTATCTATTATCTATTATCTAGATAAATATTTGAT